GGGGCAGGTCTCCAAGCCTAGCACACGCCCTTTCGCCCCCCACCCTCGGTGACCCCGCCCAACGAGCGGCACACCACGCCACGCCCCGTCATCGGAACAACCCCACGAGGAAGGCGCGGCGCCTACACGGGGCGTGGCGGGGCGGGGCGGGGTGGGGCGCGGCGCTGTTTGCCGGTGTTCCCATGCAAGAGTGTTCCAAGAGGGTGGCCGCCGCGGGGCGGAGCGCGGCAAAGATGGGGCGCCGCGCGCGGGAAAGGGAAAAAAAACCATAGCCTGCTATAAATTTTCTCACTGCTGCTCGCTCTGCCTCCCCCTCTCCCCTTTCGCTTCATCGCTCCATCTCACACACACACACGCACACACAGCCGTGTGAGCGAGCGCCAGCGGTCCTCCTCCTCCTCTACAACAACGGAAACTTTTCCAACAGCGCCGCACCGTCGTCCTCCACCACAAATGCTAAAGCATTATTAGCATCAGCACCCGAGAGCGTGTGCGTGACGGGGAAAAAGGAGGGGGGGGCTAGGCTATACAACTCGATTGCAGTTCAAGATTAATGTGCAAAAGAAAAGGGGCTGTGTTTATTTTGACACCATGCGAGCTATAGGGCGTAAGTGTGACGCTACACGTCGTTAGGGGCGCGGCGAGCGGGCCGTAGCGTGCCGCCATGGTCTGTCCCTCCCCGTCCGGCCACACTGGCAAAAACTACTGTCCACACTTTGACATTCTACCTCGGCACAAATCAAACTTCATTGCGGAATAAGTCACCATTGTTTTCTATCTTTTAACAAAATGAACTTGAACTTGGTTATTTTACCAAAGTCACAAGTTGAAACTATAGAGTCGAGCACAGTTCTTCTTGCAGTGCGGGCTGACCGTAACCCCCCGACCTCCCCTCCCTGGGAGCGTATTAATAAGTTATTTGCAGAAGCACGCAACAAAACATCCTCCCATTCCCCCCTCCCCCCCCCAATATTTTCCAATACCGTTGTGTGCGCCGATATATGTTTCCCCCGCGTGGTCCGTGTCGTCGTGCTACATTTTGTTTTTCTGGTTGTTTTTTTTATTATTTTGTGTGTGTTATCATCCCTCGTTTTCTTTTCATCGTCCTCATTATCATTATTTTCAGCAATTCGCGCCACCGCGCACGCGTTTTGCGATTCCGCGTTTAGCAAACGACAAGTTGATTGCGGATGCCCCCCTCCCCCGTTAGCGCCACCCCACTTAGGCGCACCGCTCCCGCCACCATTAGCGAGCTCGGTGTTCGGGGCGCGTCCATAAATAAGGCAATGCGTTACGCGGCGCCTCCTGCGGGACAGTCAGCCAGGCTCGGAACTCACAGGCGAAAAGTGAAAAGGGCGTAAGTCCACGGACTTTTCATTGGACTCACGCCCTTTTCACTATATTCAGCAGTGAACTGCATCCCCCGCCCCGATAGTTATTTGAAGGTTCGAAAATAAACCAGGAAAAAACGAAAACGAAGAGATTTCAAATAAAACTCTTCTTTTGTTTGTTTTTTTTTGTTTTTCTAAAATTTCCCGAAAAACTTGTTTTTTTCAGAAAACTTGAACTTTTCTGGAAAATTAAAATCTCTACATCCCGAGGAAAGACGAGGTTGTTGTTTGAGCGAATGGTTAGACTGCATCATGTGCACGCGTGTGGGTAGTAATAGGGGTTGCCTCCTCCCTCAAGCCGAAAATGGCCAAGTGCAAAACGCGCAGAGTACAGGTTTAACTGCTAACTTCAAAGTGTGGACGGGGTGAATCAGCCATTCCGTAATTCAGCCCGAACTTTACACACGGGGAAACTTGTGTGTCCCCTTGGATAGGCAAACTTGGATTTGTCCATCAGGACGATGCAAATTTGTCAATTCAATCCAATAATGCACCCTGTGAAAGATCGGGGTCTGTCGAACATTGTCGTTTGACGCATGGAACGGACTTTCCCCCGGGTTGTTCTCGGGGGAGGCGGCACCACACCAGCGTTGTTGCCGTGGCATCCCCCTCCTAGCCTCCACGATGGCACTCAACGCGTTCACGGCGGGCGGTATAGTCTTGGGCCGCCCACGGTGCACAAAGCCGCATCCGTGGCACGCGAGGCTTTCATAGTGTTCCGTGGACGGCGAGCGAGCGTCGGGGCCGGCAGCGCATCCCACAGGAGGCCATTCCATCGGAGGTCTCGGGGGTCATCCGGAAAGTAGGTCCGCGTCATTCGCCGTTTGTTCATGAGGCTGCAGGCTCTCATAGCGCCTGGTGGGTAGGCAACATCTCGCCGGCAGCGCATGCGTGTACTGCGGGCTGGCCTACCCCGAGTCGCGCAGGCGTCAAGCTCCCGTCATCTGCCGACAGAATCCGAGGAAAACGGACGTACTTTCTGGGCGATCCCTTGGGGGTTGTCCGCGCAGCGAGATAGAGACAGGACATGGGAGGCCGTTCATGGGTGGTCTTATGGGTGTCCGCGGACAGGGCGATGGCGGGGTAGCACATCACATACGAGGCCGGCCGCCGTGAGTGTCCGCGGACAGCGTGCTAGGGGCGGCGCATCGTATAGGAGGGCCATGTCATGGGAGGTCTTGTGGGTGTCCGCGGACAGCGAGCGAGGGCAGCACATATCACATGGAGGGTGTCCGTGGCCCCCGCGCGACGGTGCGTCCCTCCTGGGCGGCCCCTCTCGTGGCGTGCTGCTGCTCGCAGCCCCGGCGCAGCCCCGGCGCAGCCCCCCACGGTGGTTCAGCCTGATTTCCAGCGGATTAGGCAGAACTCGGGCCGGCGCTGGCCCGCTCATGCCCGCCCATGCTGCCCGTCCCGCACGCCGCGCGGTGTGTCGGATGACCCACATCCGCTAGGAAGTGCGGCGGGCCGGGTCGGGCCAAGCCGGGCGCGCTCCGA